CGATGCAAAGGAACAGCATCTTTACAGCTGGAACAGCATCTTTACAGCAGCGGTAGCTCATCTCTTTCTCTGCTCTTTAACAAACAGGGGACACACATCTACCGCTACCAACCCAGGAACCCTGCAGGCAGAGAACAAGGCAAGGAGGTCTCCTGCTCCCCGACACACGAGAAAACCCCTGGGGCCACCAAATACAGAGGGGATGGAGCCGAACCCAAAAAGACCGTTGCAGGCAGCCAGCCATACTGGCAGAGCAAAGCCTTCAGCCCCAGCAAGCCCACGCAGCCCGGCCACCTCTCACCGAGCAACCCCAGAGCATCAAGCAAACGCTTAATCTCCCTGCCGGAGAGCCAGAAGACAACCGAGGAGATGAGGACACCCCTCGGCATCCCGCTTTCCAAACTGTCCCAGTCCAAGCACCTCAAGAACAGGGTTGCGGGAGCCCCGGGTGCTTCTAGTGACCCCAAAAAGAAGCCTCCCGAGACCACCAGCCAGAAGGAGCACTAGGCACCGATGCGGGTGGACTTGCAGGGCGAGAGCAGTAGGAGAGCGTGCCTGGAGCCCAGGCAACGCCGTGTTACATGGGGCGGGGGATTCTTGTTTACATTTACCTGGTCGGTGCACCAGTACCACGTGGCCACGATAGAGAGCCCGAACGTCATCCCAGTCCAGGGCAGATCTCCAGAGACTGGGTCTCGGAAGAGGTGCATTGCATCCGCTCTGGGCAGGTGGCAGGTAGTGTTGGGAACGATCTTGGATGGCATGGCTTTTAAGTAGGCCTCTTCCAGCTTGGGGTAACCTCCAATCTCATTAAAAGCTGGAAAAGCATTATTGAGGGGGGAGCTGGTTAGAGTGGAGCAAAACCAGGTGGCCTCTGAAACACTTGCCAACGTGTTAGCTCAGAAGTGCTGCCCAGAGAGGGAGGGCTCGTTCGTGATTGTGTTTTCTTCTAGTTATTTAAGAGATTCTTCTATTCACATTTTGCACAGCAGGTCCCACTACTGTCTGCCCCCACTTCGGAGGGTGACCAGTGTCCTGGGAAAAAGGCTCCTCAAGGGACTCACCTCTTTGGACTTTGTACTGTAAAAGAAACCTGTTTATTAAAGCTCCTCAGTCCCAGAGCAGGGAAAACCTGCCTAGGACTATTAAAATGCAAGATTAGGTAGCCTTTGATTTGATATACTACATCTCAAAGTGTCTTGACACAAGTGTCCAGCCAAATGTTTTCTACCCCTCTTGAGTGTTTTCTCATCACCTGCAAACACTCACCTTCATCCCCAAACCTCTGGCAACCAGTGGATTAAAAAAAAAGAAAAAAAAACAAACAGAAAAACTGACCCTTTTCCTAGGAAATGGCATCCAACATCTGGGTCTTAGCCTGAGCCTCGCTAAGGAGTATGTGCCATGAACAAGCCCCAGCAAGCGAGTCTCTGAGCCCTTGGCAGCTGCCTTGGTGC